AAACCGAAGTCATATTGTCAGTCAAACTATCAGTCTTATCCTAACTAAAACCGTAAGTCATAGTGTGTCAAACCGAAGTCATATTGTCAGTCAAACTGTCAGTCTTACTCTCAATAAAAAGCTAATTCATAGTGTGTCAAACCGAAGTCATATTGTCAGTCAAACTATCAGTCTTATCCTAACTAAAAAGCTAATTCATAGTGTGTGTCAAACCGAAGTCATATTGTCAGTCAAACTATCAGTCTTATCTTAACTAAAAAGCTAATTCATAGTGTCTGTCAAACCGAAGTCATATTGTCAGTCAAACTATCAGTCTTATCTTAACTAAAAAGCTAATTCATAGTGTGTGTCAAACCGAAGTCATATTCTCAGTCATACTGTAGTTCATACTATCACCCAAACTGTTGTTCATACTGTCACTCAAACTCTAAGTCATTTTATCAGTCAAACTGTGAGTCATATTCTCTCTCAAACCTTGAGTTATACTGACAACCAAACCCTCATTCAAAATGTCACTCAAACTGTCAGTTATATTCCTAGACACATTCAAACTTTCAGGCATATTGTCAGCCAGATACTCAGTTATAGAGTCACTTTTTTGTCATTAATGAATTCAGTTATAGATTCAAACATACATTCGGTCCAATATTGGATCATGCAGTTAATTCTACATTTTTTTAACTTGTAAGTCATTATTTATGAAAATATTTAAAATAGTGTAATTGCACAATGATGTGCAGTATTATCTTTAATATTAATATTGTAATATGATATTAGATTTTATCATATGAGATATTAATATTGATTTATGGATCACTGCACAATGATGTGCAGTATTATCTTTAATATTAATATTGTAATATGCAATGTTATATTCTAATTTGAATGTTCCTTTTTAACCTCATGATTTCTTCTCACTGATCTGCCTTTTTATGCAGCATTTTGTATTTAATCTCTCTTATCCTTTAGATTCTCTATGCTTTCCATCTTTCTAAACCAGATTCCATTGTTAATTCTTAAATTAACACAAATCTTAAATTTCATATTAGTCATTGATCTGAAGTTATTGAAACATCTGACGTCTTTAGATTATCTTATCTAATATTAAAATGATTGATCTATTTACATTTTTAAAATAGTCCTAAAAAGTCTCAATATTTATAAAAGCATAATAAAATTCAATTTTTTAATACCATTTTGTAAATTATTCGTTTACTTTATGGCATAGTCTTGAAAAAGTATCAAAAAACATTATCTTAATGGTCTCTAAAGAGGTTAAGTAGCATACACACAGATATGCTAATGTGGTAAAAAGAGATTTATTGCAAAAAGTCCAAAATAGTATATTTATTATCAAGATTCGCGTGGAAACGTACGAGTTTGGGACGAAAACTAACATTCTTAAACATTTAGTAATACTCTGATAAGTACAAGTCCTTAGATGCGACATATGTCTTCTTTTGTTCTAACTTACCAAATTCAAGAACTCAAGTTGGCAGTAACTCTGTACTAAACATACTCTAAGAGCTTGTCATTATTCCGTGTATGACAAATCATACTTTAATGTTTTACTCGTTGAATAAAGAATGCTTGATTTTGAAATCGAATGTTTTTGCTTAAATAGTTCCAGATTCTTGAACTAGGGACGGAATTAGAGGACACGTCTTTGCTGGTTAGTCGCGTGCTTGATGACAATATGCTACAATTATAATAAACGTACAAAAGGGACGAAAATTGAGAGCTTGTAACTTTCAACCCAAAAGTAGGGTATTCTTTCGAATTTGAAATTGATAAAAACAAACTATATTTAATAGAGAAACGTCTTAGTATGTTTAATTTGAATCTGAAAACCATATATCAATGAAAAGGTACATTCACTATTTTTGACAAAATTTTAAATTTTCATGGGGTTGTAAATCTTATAATAACTAGATGAATAAGGAATGAATCCCAGTATAATGTGCATCATTATATTAAACACTATATGTAAGGCTAATGATTCTATTAACACTTATGAAGATCTATAGTATTTGAGCAGATAAATTTGATAATTTCCAAAACTCTTATATTTCAAAATTAAAGTGTGCGAATGCATTTAAATGAGAGCAAAAAGAGATTGATGCTGTTAACACTATGTGTTAATTTGCAATTATTTCGCATCACAAGAACTACACAGTAAATTCGGCTATCTTTCTTTGCAATTATTCTCCATTATACATATAATATAATGGTTAGGGTTTGAAGAAAAGTTACTAGAGAATTATTGACTTTTGAAATAATGCAGAATTTTACTTGAAGAAATCATTAATTTATGAGTTCCAAATTGCTAAGCATGACGAAGGATCATTAAATTTGCTACAATTAAATACACTTATTGCAGAATTAAGATTTTTGAAATTAAAAGTTTGAAATATTGCCTTTTTGAATAAAAATTTAAATTTTATTATATAATCATGATAATATCTTATAGAAATTAAAAGAAAATATTTTAAACCATTCAAATATTTTGAATGTCTTATCAATTTAAAATATTAAAAGATAGCTTGATTTTATCATCATTAGTTTATCAAAGTTTTCTCTTTTGATGAACAACAGTAAATGATTTGTTTAATTACTTGTCTTCCTTTTTCGCAGCAAAATCGAAAGTTATGATGATAATCTTGCTGTCAATTTTGAAACTCTCTGATTTACAAGTAAGCATTCCTTTGGAAAAGCAGTCCTATTCTGTTTTCAAGATATTTTAAAGCCTCCATTTCATACAATGCGCAGATCTATTCGAAATTGCAAAAACTCTCAAGAAAATGCAGCAGCAAAGAAGATTCCATAGTTTCTAGCATCAAAAATTTACAACCTTAATACAACAGTGAAAGAGAAGCTCGAAAAGAAATATTTACCCATAAAGCTGGAAACCATTCGATATCTACTATTGGATCTAATAAAAAGTTAATTATAACATATTTAACATGCTATTTGTTGACTTTGTTCCATTATATTACCATATATATCTTTTTGAAATCTAAAATATTTTACGATTTTAACCATGTGTTGTTGAAACCATATATCAATCTTAGCTAAAGTATAGTTTATGAGTCTGTCACCATCTAACGTAGAATTTTCAAAAATGTCAAATATGTTCATTTTTTCTGTAGATTCAGCCATAATTTCACGTTGTTATACTATTCAACTATTATTTAATATTTTTATCGATTTAAATATATGATGAGATGCTTAGTTCTCCTGGAAATCGATTTTTAATCGCAATTTTAACTTTCCAAAAAAAATTCAAAAATAAAAATCCCTCTCAATTTTCTAAGTTTTATAACTCGCCAAATCTCTAGCCAAATTTTTTTGGCCCGTATAAATATTGTTAGGCACTATATAGGGATGCTATTTATCCTATTTTCATCCCATTTTACTGTTATCGCCTAGTGAATGTACCTTTATCAATGAATATTAAGGGCGTTTTTCAATGTCTGTCAAAATTTTCCGTTTGAAAAAAAAAAGAGAAGAAGGTGATTCATATAATTCATTATGAAATTGTTATCACTTCATCAGCATTCAAAAAAATATGATACCATTCAAAAAAATTATTTTTCGTGGATGAGAGATTTGATCGGAAATTCAAAACAACCGTAACAACCTAATGAAGAAACATTCAAAATTTTTCAAAAATATTTTGTTGGAAAAAAAATTTAGATCCTACGAAAAATACATTCTATTAGAGTGATGTTATACAAATTTCATACGATTTTCAGATTTGAATGATAAAAGTGACAATGCGATTACAACTGGATGTTATCTCTTTCTGGTTGGCAGCATTACTGCAGCTCTTACCATATTTTATTATTCAAATTGAATATCATTTAACCGAACATTCATACAAAACTATTCTTAGTTCCTATACTTTTATGATTCAAGAAACGTACACAGGAGTCTGCGCCAAGATATTTACTGCATTCAGTTCCGCATTTATATTAAGGGCAGCTTATTCGGCATTCAGATTCTTTGTTCGTAGAAACTCTTTCAAACAAATGAAAATCGGATTCGCAGTTTGCTACATTTTCTTTTTAATTGGAGTTATATTTTCTATATCAAATATAATGTATGTTTATTTCGGAGTACAGAATTTCTACATTCTCCATCAAATTATTAGATATTGTAACCAATTATCATTCGGATTGTATTCATTTCTATTTACAGTCTTAGAAAAACCAAGAAAGAGATCAAAGGTATCACATTATATTATATCAATTACGATTCTTATAAGTTCTATTTTCAGTACAATTTTATTTCATTTTGTGATCAAGAATAATAGTTTTGGCATCACGTCCACTCTATCTTCCTTTTTCGAAACTTATAACTACGTTATGTCATCAATTTATTTTATTATCCAAGGATCTTTGATTTGTGGAAAGAGATTTGTATTTTTTGCTCCAAACAGATCTTCATCTTCTGTTATCAGGAAGAATATATATGGTTATCATATTGGAGCTTAAAATGTTTTGTTAATTTTATGTTTTGTTGTTGTTTTGTATAAATATATTTGTTTTGTTAGCTTATTTTTCTTTTCTGAATTAGGATTGTGAAAAATTAAAATTGTAAGAAGCAAAAAGCGAAACATTTCCACTTTTACTTTCTATCTTAAATAATAAGATCCTAAATATGATGAATTGAAATATATTCTGTTTGAATATTGATTATTTTTTTTCAAAAACCTGATTTCGTTGAAATCCGAAATGCCAAACCTAATATGATTGTTATGAAATTTCAATATTTAGATAACATGCTTTCATTTACATTCAAAATATATAAAAAGATTGAAAATTTTTAGGATAAAGGTAAAAATTAAGGTAAAACAGCAGATTTTATCCATATTTGGCAGTTGCTATGATGATTTCATATGTAAACTTCTAAAAAACAAGAAAAAATTTTATAAAATTTTTAAATTTTTCATATAAAGAATTATATAACAGATAGTTTAATAACACATGATAATAATATTATTCGTGGATCTCTTCTTTCATGTTTTCTTCAAGAGAATTTTGAGAATTTTCTTGAAGTGACCAAATTTCGCACCAAGTTGGTCTTCCGTGCGGACAATTCCAAGGGAAGTCAGATTGAGCCATTCTATTCAAAAGGTCCTTCATTTGGGAATGATTCATTGTATCTCCTACTCTGACAGAGCTGTGGCATGCTCTGTAAGCCATCCATATCCTGGCCTTCCTTGTCATCGGTTGTGATGCAGGGCTTTCATGCAACATCGTAATTAATTCAAGAAGATCGTCACTTCCTGTAGCAACAGTTGTAATTGATGGGATCTTCTTGACATGGATGGAATTATCCGAAATATCATAATCGTAACCGAATTCTTTGCACTTTTGTTTGCATTCTTCGGCCGCTGAGATTTCTTGGGGAGTTGCACTGATAACAATAGGAGATATGAGGCGCTGGCTCTGTATCGAACATTTCTTCCTTAGTTTCTCGAAGTTTTGGGCTTCCATGGCCGCGTGTTGGTCAATTGCGTAAATATCACAACCATATTTGGTAATAATGAAAGATTGGTTCCATTGGCCGATGATTTCCATATCCTTGAATGCTTTGGTCTCAATAGCATCGTAGGATAGTCCATAATCTGGTACATAATTTTGGCAATTTTTAAATCTTTCCAAAATATCATCTGTTGTAGCTTGGCAATGACATTCTATACCTAATGACTCGGTGTTCTTCAGTCTGGTCATCTGTGGAAGTGATCTAATCGGTTCTTCTGAGATTACATTGTTAAATGTCAATTTTTCACTGGATTTCTTCCAAACTGAGCTTAATATTTCACAAAATGTCTTCTGTAGAATATTTTCGTGCTCAAAAGAAATCGAAATAAGAGGTGAATTCGGTATAAAATCAAATGTATTTCGTGGAGCAGTAATAAAGAATACTCCTGATGGTAGTTTCGGTCCTGCACAAAGTCTAAATTCGTTTTTGATTGCGCGATAAAGTCCAGAACAAACACATGGTCGATTATTAACAATAAATAAGATTTTTTTGTTGGAATTTGCTGTAGGAGTAGCTGTGTAATATTCAAGAGAAGCTTCTGAATGCCATTTATCAAGAGAAACTTCTCCATGTTCAAATCCTTTCATGATATCTGATCCAAAAACGGTACTGATCCTGCTATCACGTTTTGGAGTGGATACTTGTATGAGTAATTTGTTATCGAGAGTAACGGTCATATTGGCTGAGCTTGCAATTGCAAATGATTGTGTAATTTCGATTATATCTGAAACTTGCTGCGATTTATGTTCAAGAAAATAATGTCTACGAACTGGTTGCCCATAAAATAGTGTTTGGGCCGTAACTGTTGTTCCTTTAGGTCTCGTAATTTTTTCCATTTTTCGTGTATGATTTTCATCAAATTGCAATCTCCAACCATTGTTACTGTTATCTGTACAAGTGTCGATAGTTAAATATGATAAATAAGAAATTGCTTCTAATGCTCGTCCTCTTCCGCCACTTACATCTTTTCCAAATTCTTTTGATGTGACACCTTCATCACAAATCATTGAAAGACCTTCTTCAGTGATACCGGGTCCATTATCTGATACTGAAATATGATCAAGGCCACCATTTCCAACTCGAATTGTCAAAAGTGTGCAGCCAGCATCAAATACGTTCTCAATCATCTCTCGGAGTGCATGCGCTGGGGAACTGATTGTTTCTGTAGCACGAACCATTGTGCTGTCATGTTTGCCCAGTGTTTTCATTTTGATTGAAATTTTTTTTGACAAAAATTATTCAGTGAATTTTAATTTTGGGGGTACCTCTCGCGCCCATGACATTGCATTAATGAAAAATCGAATTTTATTCAAAAAATTCAGGTTAGGTGGGGGTAAGTGTGCTCCTAGTATCACACTTGGATGGAATCTCCAAATTCCAAAATATAAGCTTCTCCAATTTTGTTAATTTTAATGTAAAATTATCCCCTATTTTCTTAAAATTTGAAATGTCAAAATTCTCAATGAATTCACATCACATTTTCTTGATGGAGACGTAGAGAAAGTATTCAACTTTGAATTGATGAAGAAGACAGACTAACTCAGTTACTCCATGAAGATGGAGAAATGGAGAAGCTTTGGAGACAGGTATTCGTTTTCACGGAAACTTCTTTTTTTACTTCATGATAAAAAGAATAAATCAATAGGTGGAATATGGAATATTATGTAATACATGAAATTTAATGATATTTGGCGTCTAACACCAACATTGTTAATACCGCCAAAAAATTCAAAATGGTCTGTGAATAAACCACAACATTGATATATTGATTTGAGTCTAAATCTAATATATCTATATAATGGTGATTTATTACATTTCCATGTATAAGTTTTATTATTTGCTCCTAATTCCATGTTATTTGGTTTATCATCAATCATTGACCATGATGAATTGTTGTTACTACCTTCAATTGCAAAATTAACTGGAAATTCCCAATAACTACTAGCTGATCCTGATTTTATTGTGTAAGCTTCAAGAGAAATTTTGTTTTCTTTGAAATCAAAGCAAATAAAGTTGTTTGTAACTTCTGACAAACCCCAACCATGAAGAGTATTTGAATATTCGAATAAATCTGATGTAATTCCTCTAAATCCTTTTGAAATATAAACATCAATGGCTTGACAAGTTAATGGATTTTGACCATTATTTTGTTCTCTGATATATGTAAATATTCCATTATACAGATCATCTGTATAATGGACTACATGATTATATTTTACCAATAAATTTTGATTTAATCCTAATTAAATATTCTGAATCAAGAGAATTCTTTGTATTAGCCAATAAAATATGATTGCTAAACGATGAATAATAATATATTTTCATTTCCATTTGATAAATCATTAGTTTAAATTGAAATTGAGAAATTTAAATCATTTTAACATGAGCATTAATGAATTCCATTGATTTTTTTAGCACATCAACAGCAAAATATCTTTTATTAATGTTATAAATTATTGAGTTATATTCATTCGCCTTCATTTCTCAATAATTATGTAAACTATTCAATTTTTTATCTGACAAAGTCATCTTTTGACTTTGCATTCAAATTTTATTTTGTTTGGTTGCAATCAAATAACCTCAGAAAAATAACACCATACTGAAAAAATAACACCATACTTGGTGAAAATTTGAATATAACACAAACTTTGAGACAAATGTTGTCCTGTATGATGCATTGGATCAACCCTGAAAGTTTGGAGTCCAACAATTCATTCTAGTGAGGTGAAACATCCATTCAAAGACTCAAAAATACGTTTTTTAAATAGATAACCTGGGAAATATCTTTAATCTCTTTTTGCCTTCGCCAATTTTTATTATTTTTTTTTCTTGAAACTCATTGAAAAATTTCAATATGGGATGGTATCCCAAACTTCAAGTAGCCCAAGTGGATTGGGGACTTCCTTACATCCTTATATCGAGTTATTTTTGTAATTGATGTTAACATCATCATTGGATCTAGCATCAATATACTATTTTGGAGAATATGAGCCATTTAAATATTATATAATAGCTTTTTATTAAATTAAACAAATTAAGTATCAGAATCAGATTCTTCTTCGTTCTTCTTTGGCTGCATTCTCTTAAGTTTCTTTCCATCAGAATTCATCAACCTAAGTTTCTTTGGTGATTTCTTTCCTTTTTCTGAGAAAGAAAATTCGAAATCTCCAACATCGGAATCAGTGTCATCCAAATACCTTGGCATTGCGAATCCAACCTTAACCTGTCTCTCTTCATCATCAGAGAGTTGTATCTTTCCATCCCTGACTTGTTCCAAGAATTCTGCGACTTCTTTGAAACCATTTCCATTTGCAGCAATAATTGGAGTGATTCCCTTTGGATCTGTTGAGTTAATATCAGCTTTCTTCTTCAATAGATACTTAACTACCTCTAAATGTCCCTTTGCTGCTGAGTAAATGATTGGATTCCAGCCATCATTATCAACAACATTCAAACTAACGCCATGCTCGCATAAGAACTTAACAATAGGAAGGTGTCCATTACGGCAAGCGTGAATTAAAGCACATTTGCCGTCATTATCCTTAAATGTCAAATCTAATTTTTGTTGATAGTAATATTCAACGATATTAAGTTGTCCGAATATAGCAGCATGTATCAATGAATTCCTCTTATACTTATCGATATCATCAATGCGTGCTCCGCTGTCAATAAGATATAAGAATGTTTCAATTGAACCTTTTCTAGCGCTATGCATCAAAGGAGTGATCTTATCCTTATCAGGTTCATTAACATCAAGTCCTTTGTTCTTAAAGAAGTCAACAGCTTTACGATATCCTTTAGATGCAGAACAACTCAAAAGTGACAAACCTTTTGAAGTGTGGTCGTTGTTGTTTGCACCATTTTCAAGTAGGTATTTGATGATTTCGATCTCTCCATTAAGTGCGGCAACGATAATTGGCGTTGTTCCGTTTTGAGATTTGATATCAATTTTGGCACCAGCGGCAACAAGGGCTTTGACTGATTTAAGTTCACCATGAGCACATGCGTGATGCATTGGACGCCATCCTTTGTCATCTGATGCATTTACGTCTAAGTTTTTCGTCATCAAAAATTAAGTGACGTCTTCGTAGCCTTTTTTAATGGAATAGAACAAAGGAGTTCTCTCTTTGTCATCTTTGACTAAAAAGTTGACACCTAGGTCTGAAAGATGCTGTAAAATTTTTAATTTGCCAAGATTTGTAAATCCAAAAACAGCATTCTCGTTGATTTCATCTTTAGACTCGTATCTGATTCCATGATCGAATAGTAATTCTACGATATCGTATTGTTTGTTATTTGTGGCAATTGTGATAGCTTTTTCGCCATTTTGTGATGTGATCGAAGGATCAAAGCCGATACTGAGTAAATAGTTGATGGTTTCTGTTCTTGAGTTCTTTGTAGCAACGATAAGTATGTTATTCCCATCTTTATCGGTGACATGACGATCTGATCCGTTTTCTATCAAAAATTGAACTAATTTTGTATCGCCCTTTTGGCAAGCTGTGACTAGTAATGATTCGTTTTGAGAATTCTTGACATCTGTGAATCCATACTTGTTTAAAAACTGAATTGACTCTTCATCGCCGCTATTGGCAACTTTACCGAGCAAATTATAGACTCTTGTAAAATCTGTTTTGTCCTTCAGAATAATAACTGGTTTTTCGTCTGAATTTTGGGTTTGCGCAATCTGCTCTTTGAGATTTTCAATTTCTTCGTTTAGTTTGTTTTTCTCTGCTTCTTGTTTGTGTATAACATCTGATATCATGTCAAAGAATGGTGATTTGAGTGTTTCTTTCAAGGTTGAAAGGAAAGTAATGAGTTTATCGATGGATTCGAGATCTTTAATTCTGACAGATTGGAAAAGGCGGAAAGAATCCTTTGATGCATATTTGTACTTGGCTTCCGATATTAATGTCGTTGCTTGCTCAATTGTAATTTCATTATTTCTTAAGAAAGTATTGACTACTGCCTTATTAAACTCTTCAAAGAACTTACCATCATTAAGAGATTCATCTAGCCGTGCCAGAATTGCTTGGCTATCAGGTTCTTTGCTCATTTAAATTTGAATAATATATCTCTTTACAAAAAGTTTTTTGATGAGGAAAAATCTTTTGAAAAATTTAATTCTATTTCAGACAGAGTTTTCATATTTATTCAAAAAATCATGGTTAATATGCGTTTGACGATACAATTGTATGAATGCATTGAAAAATCGGAGTTTTTAATTTAATTGCTTATTTAGCCATTTTAATTAACTTTATAATAACAAATTCAATATGGTCTTTATCGTTCTAACTCATTGAATTTATTATTTTTTTCATTTTATGTGTTATTAATGAACCATATTCTTTTTATGATTCAGGTCAATTGAAAAACCTGATTTATGCTCAATCTCAATTTTTAAGGAAATTGAAATAACACTGAAATGAATAAATTGTTTAATATATCATACTTTTGAAAATGTATCGATATTTTATTTCAAATTTCTGAGCATTACATGTCAAAAATATTATTCTTTTTTATATGAAAATAGACGAATATTACTTTCAACATGAAATTTAATTAATTTTAACGAAATAAAATTAATAAACTAATAGTCAGGACCCCTAATGAAACACCTTATCTGAATAAGATTTTCAATAATACATTTTTTGAAATTTATCTCAATCACTATAAAAAAAAACTTTTTATCACCATCTTGTGATAAAATATAAGCTCAATTTAAAACAAGAAATTCAACCATACCTTTGCAATAATGAAGCACTTCAACATTATGAGCAGTTTGCTTCAATCCGCCTCTCAAATCAAAACTAAAATCTATCATAATGACAAACATATTTTAAATCTATAGAAATACATACAACAACATTATATATTTTGTTCAGATTCTTGATCCCAAGGAAGTTTTCTATCTGATTTTTGCGTGAATGGAAAGGAACCTTGGGGAATCGGTCTTGGCATTGGAGAATTTCTGAATGGAGGATATCTATATCCTTTTGGTTTGAGAGGACTTGGGTATTTTATTGTATTTCTTATTGTGCTGTCTTTTGTATTGTTAAATGATACCCAGAACTGGCAACCACCTCTCTTGTACTCCATGTATTGGCCAGTCTTATCAGCATAGTTTGGCGGTTCAGTAAATAAAGGCTGCTGATTTAGATTTTGATTTTGATCCTTTTTCCTATGCTTAATTGGCATATAAACAAATTCTGAATCACCATCAGTAGCTGCTACATATAATTTATCATCACTTACTGCAGAATCTCCATCAGGTACGAATCCAAACAAACCAGGATTTGTTTCATCAATTCCTTGTCTCTGAAAATCTGCATAATAAGGTCCAGAATCATCAAAACTATCAAACATAGAAGTACTTGATTCATTATCATCATATCTATTTTGTTTATATAAATTCTGATTTTCTTTTTTAGAAATATCATTAATTTCATCATTAGGACTTTCGAAATTTTCATCATCATCTTCGAGATTTTGATCATCTTGAGTTTTTGTCTCATGTTGTTTAAAATTAGGCCTTATAGGAATTGGAAGATCATTTGCTGATTCTTGAATATCTGTTTCGTCTAAAAAGTTGATTTTTGAAGGCGGAATTATTTCTTGATTCTTTCCAGAAACTTTAATTCCATCTAACCAAACAATTCCATTAAAATTTGATAGAATTGATATTCTGTAATTAGCTCTTGCTTCATTGTTACCGTATTGGCTGCTATATTGTTCCTCTGAACCATATTCTTGTAGTTTTATTTCTTCATTTTCTGAATTTTTTGGAATCTCAGGATAATAATCAAAATTGATTGGATTCCCTCTGATGTCCAGGTATTTGAGCGATTTAGAATTACATACAAAATTTGTTATGTCATCTATCGTATTAATTTTGCAATAATTCATAATTAATGATACAAGATTTGGAGCAATTGCAGAAAGTGGTGATAATTTTGAAATTTTAGTAGAACTTGCATTTAGTTCCTTTAGGTGAGGAAAAAATCCGTCAATTATAAAAGATTTATCATCTAATGGATTATTTGAAATATCTAATGTAATAAGTGATTGAAAACAAGTAAAAGACTTTAACGATGTAAGATAATTGAATGATAAATCAATATATGATAAAAGAGCCATATAAAATGGGGTAAAATCTGTAATTTTATTATGTATTGCACTTAAAGAACGCAAATTTAAAAGTGTTCGCAATTCATTGATATTACTTATACTCATATTGTTCATAATTAGTGTTGAAAGTCCCGAAAAAACATTTATCCCGCGTAAAGTTCTAAATTGATTTCCACTAATATCAAGATTCACAAGTCTTGGAATAGGACTGCGTATAAAAATGGAGCGAATTTTATTATTTGATAGATTTAATTGCTTAAGCGAAACGCATCCTTCAAGGTTTTCAATAATTTCGATTTGATTATTTGATAAATTAAGAGAATGTAATTGAGGAATATGAAATATTTTTTCAATCTTTGTTATAAAATTATATGATAAATCAAGATATGCTAGGCTAGTACAAAATTTAAATGGATCTTCTTCAATTGTTGTGAGATTATTATGAGACAACTGTAGTAATTTAATAATTTCTGGTGATGAAAGTCCTTGAAGAGATTTTATATGATTGTTACTTAAATCAAGAGCATTTGCTGGTGGAATTCGAATACCTTTCAATGATTTTATATCAAGAGATTGAAATGATGAAATCATTTCATTTTCATTTAGAGTCCCCACCGAAGGATCTGCTGAGTTCATTTTCAACAACAAAATTCTGAATTTTTAAACGTTCACTTTTTTCAATAAAATTTGATGATCGGAAGTTTTATAAAAAATGAGGGGAAAAATAAAGGAATTATAGCATCAATAACTATGTTACAATGAAACTATTCTTAGCAACTATAGTTATGCTTTCTTGAACTATTTATATTGTCGAATCTTTGAAGTAAAAAAAAATTAAAAAAGAAAAAGATTTGCCTACGACCGGAGTTGAACCGGCGACCTTGCGCTTACAAGGCGCACGCAATAACCACTATGCTACGCAGGCTTTACATTTATTCAATTTATTTTGAATAAATAATAATACATAAGTTTATGATTTTCAATGAATTTACGTCATTTTACTCGAAGATAAATGTCCTACTGAGTGCTGAACTGTTGCCAATATAATATATAATTCCTAATGGTATTAATTATATCATTTTATCCAACAAGTCTAGCAGATCATAAAGGGACAATAAAATTTTTGGCGGTTTTTGTCACTTTGAATTGAAAATTATTTCATTCCATGGAACCAACAAAGATTTTCGTTAGAGGATTACCACTTGATGCCACAGAATCATCCATTCGCAATATCTTTGAGCCATGCGGCCAAATTAAGCTTGTTTATCTTCCAAAAATGGAACCACATGAAACAGAGCAAACCGCACATGTTGTTTTTACAGATCACGAAGCAGCTAAAAAGGCAATTCACGAGTTTAACTATGCATTAGTTGATAACAATAAAATCAAAATCACTTACGGAGATGAAGAAACTCTTAATTTCATTCAGAGTGGCCAGAACAAGCTAATTATCGAAGGACTCGATCAATCAATCTCAGAACAAGACATATTTTTCCACTTTATGAAATACGGAGAAGTTCTTTATTGCGCTATGGCTACAGCAATTACAGGTAAATACTTAGGCATCTGCTTTGTCACTTACAGAAATAAATCAGAAGCTGATGCTGCTATAGAACACCTGAATGGAGGTATTCTAAACGATAAAGAAATACATGTTCGTTATGCCCCAGAAGGACTCAAATAAGATATAGATATAAATTGAATAAATATGATATTAGTTAAATCTATTTAAAGTATATGTAATTGGCTTACGTTATCATTTTTTTGACTAAAAATATTAGAAATTATTATTTCGGTTTCATTTTTGCATTAATTGGGGTAATATAAAAATATTTGATTATTTGTAACACATTAATTTTGATTATGGCTAGATTCTTGAGAAAAAATAACAATATATTTTAATTGCAAAGATTTGGTATATATTGATGCCAATTAATGAAGAAATCATACTTGATATGATTTATTAATGCAAATGTAATTCATTATTGATGAAATTTTATAAGATGATATCGAAATGAATGTTGGTAGTGAATAATATAATTAATTTTGAATGAAAATAGTGTAACTCCGTTTAAATCAGTTTTTGACGATGGTTTGATCCAGCTCCAACATATATATTGGCTAAATATGAGACAAAAACATCTGATTTTATATCCGACACTTTTTTGTCAGATATTCGTCAGGAATTTTTTTTTGGGAGTGCAAAATCCCAAAGTTTAAGAATTAAAGTAGTCATCTGACAAGAATAAATTTATTTCCTAAGGGTGCACTTAAGCATAAATGACATGATCTTCGTTTATTGAGGAAAAAAAAAGTTAAAATAAAAAGCATTGATATATTCTGTATTTAGCTTATTTAATGTTTTTTTGCGCCATTTTTAAGAGAAGTTCAGTTATTTTTTATAATTGTTGTCAGATGCATAGGTGAAAGTAGCTTTTCCAATATTATCTTTTCATTGATATTTGCACCATGTGAAATAAGAAGCTTAGCTGCTATTATACTTTTATTCGTTGTTGTTCTATAATGAGGGATTCCTCCATCATTATCTTTTTCATTGATATTTGCCTCATATGAAATATGAAGCATGATTGTTTCTATGCTATTAAGGATACCCTTACATTGCGTAGTTAGAAAGAGAATATGATATTGTCATGATTGCTAAAGTTTTAGGCTCCAGAAATGAATATACATCAAACTGAAACAATTGATAAATTGAATGAACTTTTGAGAGGTTCTCAAATAAAAAAAATTATCTAATTTTTTACAATATTACTATTATTTTATCCACATATGTATATATAGTAATTTGAGAAACTTTAGGAAAAAATAAGTTTAATAAAAATCTGAATTTTACTTGTTGTGGGATTGTTATTAATTGACACTCCAGACGTATTACTAATAGTTATGCGTATGCAATTAAAGTATTTCTGATGGACAAAATGTGAGATTTATATATCAGATAATTCATTTCTACTATTAAGTTATTCATTTATGAGTTTGCACTTATTCGCACTAAATAAATAACTATTAAAAATTGTTTTAATTAATTGACACCATATAATAGAGTGAATTTTGTTTGATCAAACAACAATAGATGATAGATATAAAGCCAAGAAACTTGCTATTAATATGCTCTACTTGCTATTTCAATGTAAGTATGATATTTTCTAAATGTTTCGTTCAGATAACTTAGATATATTAGTCAAAATTTGAAATTTTAATAGCACATATATTAAAATAATTATTATTCATAAAAGATTAATGAAATAGTAAAAAAATCAATCAAATTATAAAAAATACAACATTTAGAAGAATTCTTATTATCCTTCAAAAAGTCAGTATTTCTGCTGTAATTTTCTACAACATTGTAGTTATTGCACTTTGTCTATGGATTTGTATATATGTTATATATATAATTATATATCTAAACTGCCCATAAGTGCAATTTTTATATAAATTTGTTTATTTCTTTAACAATTTCATATGAAATATGCTTTTTTAAGCGTATCAAAGCTGTGTTCTTAATGTGCATGGATATATCAAGAAAAAATGTCGAAAAAAAAATGTGAATTCACAAATTCACTGAATTTTCACCGTTTTTTGAATTTTGCTACAGCACTAATATTAAATAATACTAAAATCTTCTGTCTTTGTAAAAGAATAAATTCTGACAAAAAGTGCTCGTTTAAATTTAATGATCATCTGTATGACTAAGTGGTAAAAAGTGTTTATGACCAAAAAAGGGTTACATGCTTAGTCTATTTTTCTGACAGGATACTCTAGATTTACATGATCTCTATTTCATATCTCCGTTTTTAGATTCTTCGACAGATTTTATGATAGAAAACCAAGATTAACAAATTTCCGGCATGTTAATGAAGAAATCTGCAGCTACCTCTCATATTATTTCAATAATCAGTATCGTTTCTCTTACAATTTATTTTTTTCTCAATAATTTAACAAGAAATAACAATACACATTTGGTTTTACGTATAAAAGCTAAGTGTCGAACTTAATCAACTTTACTTACTTAGCAAATGAATATTTTTGTGGTTGCGAGTTCTGAATGCTGAAGTTTTAGATTTCTCTATAAATGATATCATTGCACTTACAATGTTGTTCCAGCCTATCGCATAAATCATAGAAAATCCAAAAAAAAAATAATATAAAGAAAATTCATGTCATGAAGTTCAAAAAATACCGTTAACATTAAAATTTGTTATGCATAATACATTTTAGCTATTATTGATTTTTTTTTAATTTTCGAGAAATTGAATGGTGAGTCCGATAGAGAAATTTTTAAAAATCCTAGTCCCTCATAGAAGTAATTTCCCTCGTCTCCCATACTTCCAAATGTATGCATATGACATAAACTTTTATGCATTACACAAATGGCCAATAATATCTATAGAGTAAAAAATTAGAAATTTAATTTTTTTATATGATAGTTATATTTCAGATTTGCGAGCGTAACTTTTTTCTCCATGGCATACTTGTTTTAAGAGCAAATGATCAAAATCGTCCTTCAATTATTGAAGGAGCTGATATCTTTTGAAAATTGAATTGAAAGGGTATTCAATTTTCAAATTTCCTCTCAATTTTGGAAACATATCAACTCTATGAATTAACAATTATGTGCCTTCACAGTTTATCAGTCATATAAGGTGCTTATAAAGAAAAAAGTTACGCTCGCAAAATATGTTTTTATATAGATTTCACATAAAATAATTATGTAATTTCTAAAAAGAATATTTTTGTTCTTGAATATTAAAGTGTATTGTAGTTTAAAAAGTTTTAAATATGTTGCTAAAATTTCAGGTTTATAGCTCATGTCTAGCATGACTTCTTCGTATGCGCAAAAAATCTGACACGTAAGGGTATCCTTAATATGAAATTTAAATTATTAATAGCAGTTATTCCGAGATCAGATTTTTCATTGATATTTGCACCATTTGATTCAAATAATGAAAATGGATCACAATAATATTGAAATAAACTGTTCTGAAGTTTTTGGTTTTCATCAAATCCTTCTCTTTCCGTGAATGCTATGATAATATTTCTTTGTAAATTTGATCTCTAAATTTGATAATTTTCAAATCTATATGTTTATGTAATTTAATTCCATGTTCTTTATAAGTCAGGGAGTAAAAATGTTTGGATCTTGGTAGAACTCTTTCACATGATCTTCAGCTATGAGTTTGACAAGAGCCAAATATGAATTTCATAATGTTTGAATCAAAAGTCATTCTGATATGATTTAATAAATATCCTGAAAAAATGAATATTCAGAAATAAATGTAGAGTTGCTAACATCATTTGCATTATATGGCTGAACAATTAATGAAACATTTGCGATAAGAACGAGTCATATTTATTTCTATCCATGATATTAATGAAATCCATCACAAAGAAATCTCATTTAGAACGACTCACCAGATGTAACTTCTTTTCCATTAAATAATTTTCCATCTTCCAATTTATATCCTAGTTTTAATTAAAGCTGAACGATGATGAAAAGGAATGGGAATGAGTAAAATTCTCTTCGCATGCTGACATCGAAGTTGAGAATGAAAGCTAAAAATACTTCGAATTTGAAAGCTTGGACTTCTTCTTAAATGAATATTATTATGCAATGATGGAAATTCTTCTTGGTCAGTATGTAGTGTAATATTCTTGATCAGAAGTTCTTGGCAGGCACCATTTGTTCAGAAATGGAATGTCTTCTCAAAGTGATTTGAGTACTTCTTGAGATAGTAATACTTATATGGAATTGTAATTTGAATGTCTTTAAATCCTACATTCAGGATGACTTCTTGCTTCAAATCAAATGTCTGATCACCAATAGTAATTGCAAAAGTACTTTGACCGTTTGATGAAATATCAATAAAATTAAAAATTAATCTCAAATTTTGGATTATTTGAAAAATGAAAACAATTTTAAACCTGCGGTTTTCAACTTTTCAATATTGTTGGCGAATGATTTTTTCGGTTTAAATAAGTATGAAATAGTTAATAGTTGTGTTAAATGCCTCATTTTCTGATGATTGAATTAATAAAAAAATGTGGGTAAAAAGATCATAATATCGCTGAGAACAGATAAAACTAAAATTTGAGTTTTTATATACCCTTGTTCCATTGGCTCTTGCATTGAAAATATGTCGGTTTTTGGCAATAATTTTGGAAATTGTAAAGTTTACAATAATTTTTGATTGAAAACATTGTTTTCCATCTCAATTTGTTTTGAATGAACTTTCAATTTTATTTGTCATATCTTGTAAGAAATGGACACCGAAAAGAAAGTTCGAAGATTCACAAGTAATGAAGATGCTGTGATAACATCAATATTCAATCTCCACTTGGATGATAAAGGAGTTGACTTCTGCGTTGATTCACTCTTTAATATTTTCTTAGGAATTCATTCTAAACGCGCGATAAAAGATAGATGGAGTAATTTCTTATCAATGGACAGCGCAGAGTTTACTGATGAAGATGACAAACTAATACAATCACTACACAAAAACTTAGGAAACAAGTGGTCGAAGATTTCGAAATATTTCAAAAACAAAAGTCCAACACAAGTCAGGATCAGATACTACCAAATGCAACGGAAAGAAAACAGGATCAGACAAAGCGAGGAAACCCGAAATACTGATTCCAATTTCTTTTTTAATAATGAAATTTCAGATTTTGAATTCATAAATTCGGATTTTTTCGAATGAAGAGTAATTTCTTTATTACATAATAAAATCATTATATATTTTATTAGGCAATAATACTGTAAATTAGAAATAGAATTAATTTGTAGTTTAAGCAAAATTTCAACTTCAGCTTAAAAATATCAACGAAATAATGGAATATAATCGAAAATATATACTAAATAAATTATTTTACAATGATATATTTATTGAAACATGATTTTTATGAAATGAATTTATCTTAAAAAAAATACTAATCGAGGCATTCAGAATTGTGTATCTTGTATTGTACAAACTATTTTTATCTTCTTATTCTCCAGCAAATTATTCCTACTCACTTTCAAAATTGTAACTCAATATAATTCTTACAATAATCCCATAGTTTTTTAACTATTCATACGGGTGCACCAGAATTATTTGTTTGCAATTTTCAATATAATTTTTTGGATTTTTATAAACTGTGAACTCCTTGTTCTTGATAGACCATACATTGAAATTGCACTATTAATTTATATTAATAATTTTTTACAAATTTGTTTTGAAAAGGTCCATTTTGTTCAAAAAACCATGAATCATTAATTTTCTTATGTTAAAAATAATTGTCAAATAAGTAAAAATGTCCTCAATAACTTGAAATTGAAATGAAAAATAAATTTCAGTATTTAAGTTCATCAAGTGGAGTACAATGTATACCTTCGATCATTTCTTATATGTTTTGATGTAAAGGTATCATTGTTCCTAGGTATGCAATAAATAATGATAGTTAAAATTACAGTTATAAAACGACTTTCAACAGACAAAAATCCTCAATGTAAAGACTTAAAACTAACAAGAAGTTAGATATTTTCTCAGAAGATATTAGTACTAATAAACATGATTCTAAGATATTAC